GGTGTTTACATAGTCATAGCACAAACTATTCTGTGGCTCTTGAAAAATCAGTCAAAATGCTCAAAAAACTCTGGCAGTATGGGACTCTCTGTTCTGAAAATGGCTGCCAGTCAATGAGTTAATGACTTCTAAGGGTTCCGATCCAGGCACCAACCAACACTTTAGACGTCCTGACTGTGAGGCAGACTGATGGCCGAACTATTACGAACTCATTTTCATAATGACGATGAATTTGCACGACCCAAGACTGATACTGACTCCTTTCCTCCTGAACTATCCGGCCCTGCTGGAGGTCCTCAGGTGGCTCCTCCCTTTGTCTGATTCAGACCTCCACTGGTTTCCCTCCTCTCTCTTCTTTGTGGCTCTTTGGCCCAGAGCCCAGTCTGAGTCTGACGGGGGTCAGAGAGGTTTGACAGAGCGTGTTTGTTTATAAAGGGGGCCGACCCCACATGCCCCGATGTGACCCCCATTCACAGGCTGACATCTTTTCTCACAAAATGCAAAGTCAATAAAGATTTTCCAAGATTTCCCGGCTACATTGTTAACTCTTTGATCCGGGTTTGTGACCCACAGACTTTACAATACTGCACTATAACCGCAATTACTACTGTGCAATTAATGTTTAGAAATGTGTATAAGTAAACTTGAACCTCTTCTTTATTCCCCGATCAACTGTATATGTGCATATATGTAAATATATCAGAATCAGAAACAGAAATACTTTAACAATCCCAGAGGGAAATTATTTTTGTTACTAGCTCCATAGATAAAACAACAGCATATACATATATACATGTCTATACATACATATATATATATATATATATATATATACACACAAAATTCCACACAGAATTTAGATAAATATATACATCCACTTCTTCTTCTAACTTGTGCAATTACTACTGGTCAATTACTATTTATAAATGTATATAAGTGACCTTAAATCTCTTCTTTATTTCTTTTTTCCCCCGATCCACTGTATATGTGCATATATATATATATATATGATGCGCTGTATATAGCTCATGCACCTTTTCCTCCTTTTGGAACTTTTTTGGGATAATAAGAGCCGATGTGACACGTGAATTTCTCCACTGTGAGATCAATAAAGTCTATCTTATGTTATCGTATCTTATCTTATCTTATCTTATATTATCTTATCTTATCTTATCTTATCGTATCTTATCTTATCGTATCTTATCTTATCTAATCGTATCTTATCGTATCTTATCTTATCGTATCTTATCTTATCGTATCTTATTGTATCTCATCTCATCGTATGGTTTGGTATGGTATCTTATCTTATCTTATATTATCGTTTCGTATCGTATCGGATCGTATCATATCATATCTTTTCTAATCGTATCTTATCGTATCGTATTGTATCGCATCGTATCGTATCGTATCGTTTCTTAATGTATCGTATCTTATCTTATCGTATCGTATCTTATCATATCTTATGTATCTTATGTATCTTATCTTATCTCATCTTATATTTGGGTTTTTTGGGCCTCTGTGTGCTCTTCGGTTGTGTTTCAAAGTGATTATTTTAGAAACATGAATGACTCTTGTCTGTTTTCTGCACCAGGACAACAAAGGGAGTCTAATCTGATCTAATGTGGCTGAAGGAACGGACATCTCCTGATGGCAGACAGAGACACTCTGAAGCTTTCTATCAATACACGGACCACAAAACGCCTCTCAGCCGCCTCGCCTCCATTAATTATGAAGCATTTTGGGACAGACAGATGAACAATGATGAGCTCATAATGGGGGGATGCCCCCCCCCCATCCGGCCCAACACCTGCCGTCACTCTGGAACGAGCATCCGTCTTGACTAAGTCTCAGAGTTTAAGTCGTGTGCAGCCTAGGGTTGTCACGATACTAAAATATTCAACGCGATACTCAGGAAAATACTCGGTACTCGATACCATTTTCAATACCACAAGGATAAAAACAAAATTTAACTGAGTTTTGACAGGTTAGTGTCTTTGGTTTTAAACTGACCTGTTACTGATGTTATGGTGGCCCACATTAATGACCCTAACCCTAACCCTAACCCTAACCCTAACCCTAACCCTAACCCTAACCCTCCACCCTTCATAATTGTGGAAAATAAATATTTTTTGGTTAAACTTTTGGATTTATTGTACAAACCTATTTAACATCCACTATTTTAACATAATAATATGTATAGAGTTTAATGAAGTGATTGAAAGATTCATTTAACAATTTTTAAATTAATGTCTATATTACCATGAGGCAATTAGGATTTTCTTGCCTGGGATCTTCCTATTGGTGACCTAATCAAAATGGCCGACTTGGATGTGGGCGGAGTTTGCAGCCAGACGTATTTGATTAATGTTGGCGTGTTGTTATTAGCCATTAGCCGCAGCTAGCAATTCATGGCTAACGTCACATTAATGATCATAAACAACATAAATAAATAAATCTGAGAAAAGGTGGTGGTGGAGGGGGGGGGTATCCATACTTTTGAAAATGAGTATCGTATCTGGATACAACATTTTATAACCTGTAAGCTAACTTTAAGCTAACCTCCCCCCACCACTTGACGCCTTACCTTGCTAAGGGGTTTGGTCCCACTGTCCCAGCTCCTCTTGTCCAGGGAGGGGGGCACCTGGTAGACGTCCTGCCCGGTCCCCGTCCCCCCCACGGGGGCCGGGATCTGCCCGGGGAGGGGCCCCAGGGAGGGGGGCACCTGGTAAATGTCCTGCCCCAGGGAGGGGGGCACCTGGTAAATGTCCTGCCCCAGGGAGGGG